AAAAAAAAAAAAAAGATAACAAACATATACTTTAAAATGTCGAATTCTCAGTTAAAAATATCATCATTGCTATGATTTTAACTTACTAGAAAATCAACTTCAAAACCATATATAAAGAAAAATTTATAGGCCAGAAATCCTAATACTATTTTTCCATTTCCCTTCTAAACTTCATTCACAAGCATACATACATGATTTTAACATAGTTGTAATCATAGTTTACCAACAAATTTACGTTCTACTTTTTCTACTTGGTGTTACTTTAAAAATGTTTGCTGCCGGGCTCGGTGGCTCAAGCCTGTAATCCCAGCACTTTGGGAGGCCGAGACGGGCGGATCACGAGGTCAGGAGATCGAGACCATCCTGGCTAACACGGTGAAACCCCGTCCTGTCTCTTATACACATCTAGATGTGTATAAGAGACAGACTGCACTCCGGCCTGGGCGACAGAGCAAGACTCAGTCTTAAAAACAAAAAGAAAAAGAAAATTAGCTGGCCGTGGTGGTGGACACCTGTAGGTCCAGCTACTTGGGAGGCTGAGGAAGGAGAATTGCTTGAACCCAGGAGGCGGAGGTTGCAGTGAACTGAGATCACACCACTGCACTCCAGCCTGGCCAACAGAGCAAGACTGTCTCAAAAACAACAACAACAACAAAAAACAAACAAAAACAAAACAAAAAAACTCATCCTAGGCCGAGCACAATGGCTCACGCCTGTAATCCTAGCACTCTGGGAGGCTGAGTTAGATGGATCACCTGAGGTCAGGAGTTCCAGACCAGCCTGGCCAATATGGTGAAACCCCGTCTCCACTAAAAATACAAAATTAGCTGGGCGTGGCGGCACATGTCTGTAGACCTAGCTACTTGGGAGACTGAGGCAGGAGAATCACTGGAACCTGGGAAGCAGAGGCTGCAGTGAGCCAAGATCACGCCACTGCACTCCAGCCTAGGTGAGACAGAGCAAGACTCCACCTCAAAAACAAAACAAAACTCATCCTGAGCCAGATTGTGAAAGGATTACAGTTGGACAGGATCAAACCTTGTAAAGCATTTGTTTCGCCAGGCGTGGCGGCTCACACCTATAATCCCAGCACTTTGTCAGGCCAAGGCGGGTGGATCACAAGGTGAGAAGTTCAAGACCAGCCTGGCCAAGATGGTGAAACCCCATCTCTACTAAAAATACAAAAATTAGCTGGGCATGGTGGCGGGTGCTTGTAATCCCAACTTCTCCGGAGGCTGAGGCAGAGAACTGCTTGAACCCAGGAAGCGGAGGTTGCAGTGAGCCGAGATCACGCCACTGCGCTTCAGCCTGGCAACAGAGCCAGACTCCATCTCAAAAAAAAAAAAAAGAAAAGAAAAGAAAATATTTGTTTCTTTTTTACCCTGGGCAGAGACGGGCAAGAAGCATATGGGCAGATTGCCCTCTTGATTGGAAGGATATGTCTGCTTTTAACCACTGGCTGTATTTCTTTAGGATGCAATGGAGAAAATAAATGAGATGCCAGATTTTCTCATTCTCATTTCTGAATCATGTGCATAAATATGCACATTCACACCCCCTCATTCACCTTTGCCAACTTGTTAGAGAAAGATGAGTCACCATACAGGAACAGTTCTACATCATTCTAGAGGATTACAAATATCTGAGGAAATAATTCTGGTTTTGGCACTAAACACTTTCCTCTGGGAAAATATCTACCTAGTTTTACAGTTGCTAGGGCCAAAATATTGATAGCAGAGTAACTTTAAAAAATACTTATGTCAAGCAGCCTTAATTTAGAACAATATTTTAAAACCTGTGTTTGTTGTACCACCTGTAGCTGAAAAACCCTGAAGGCTTGTTAAAAATGCAGGTTCCAGGCCAGGCACAATGGTATGTGCATGTAAGTTCCAGATACAGACAGGGCGAGAAAATTTTTGAGACAGGGTCTTGTTCAGCCAGCTGAAGTGCAATGGCTACTCAGAGGCACAGTCATAGCTCACTGCAGCCTCCAACTCCTGGGCTCCAGCGATCCTCCAGCCTCGGCCTCCCCAAGTGCTGGGACTACAGGTGTGAGCCCCTAGGACCAACCAGAAAAGTGTTTAAAATGTAGATTCCAGGATCTCACTCCAGACCTACTAAGTTTGGATTTTTGGAGGTGGAGTGCATTTTAATCAAGACCTCAGGGGATTCTAGTGTACTTTATTTAGTTTGTTAGCTGTTGCTTTGTTCACTGGTAAGATTATGACAAACATTCCTAACATGGTTTCACAAAGATTAGAAAACAAAACAAAGATCTCTGAAACTGAATGACTTGTATCCTTGGGATTTCTGAAGCTCATTTTAATGCTTGGTAATTTTTGGACTGCAAGCAGAAGGGAAAAACAGAAAGTGCATGCATTTGAGATTAATAATGTCTGCTACCAGATGAATATTATCCAACACCCTCCCTAATGAAAGTTCCAAGTTTATGGCTTCCTAGACACTGAGAAGACTAGACTTAGCTTACAGCTATACTATTTTTTTCCTTCTACGTACAGAAGTTTATTCTTGTGTGTCTCTGTCTGCTGAGATTCTATCATGCAGCAGTGACAGTCTTCTAGAATCATGTAAAACAAGACTTTACTTCTGAGAAGATGCTAAGGAAAAGGAAGGTCACAAAAAAATTAAGTTGCTGTTTTTTCAACTTTATAAATGGAGATGTATAATGAAAGACTGGAAGAAGGTACCCACAAGCCATCTCATGTTTTTGTGTTAGGGTTGGCCCTGACCCACTTAAGATACCTCTACCTTTAT